GTGTTTGTAGCTCACCTTGAGTTTGCTCTCGCAGTGAGGAAAACCATCCAACGGCGGAAGCTCGCACTTCTCCTGGGCTCCGTTTAGAAGATCTGGAGGAGCAGAGAGAGAAACGGGAAGAGAAAAATCAATAAGGTCGAAACGGTCAGAGGCAAACAGCGTYTTTTTAAATCCCTATCTGTAAATTCATCACGCTAGAGAACAGATACAGTACATAAAAACATTTCAGAGGTCTGCAGAGAGGGAGAAGATGGTCTAAAAGACCAAAAATACATGGGTCCTTCAGCCACCAGCAGTTCAGGAGAAATGTGCCAGGTGTTGTTAACTGAGAAAGTTTTCTCATAGGAATTATGAGGAATTATAAGAAAMTCTTCAAACGCCAGCAGCACTTTGAAATTTATAGCTTGTTTCATAAAACCAGTTACATTTGCACCCTTTTCTGCACTGAAAAAGCATCTAGAGACAAATATACAGATTTTGTGCTTAAAATTAAGGCCCTCCCCCACACTATTAAGCAATATTTAACCAGGTTTTTTGCCTGTGTGTCCACTCACAAGTAGAGTTGCACAAACTGAGACCTTGTCAACACAAAAATCAATGTCTTATCTGAATATTTTGTCTGTGAAATCTAAAAATATCTGYGCAAACACAGCAATTTTTATAGAAATGCTTTCATCCACACAAAGCAACTAAAATACTGTAGTAACCAYGCCAGATCTGTGAGTGGCACTGTAATAGCGCCAAACAAAAAAAATGCTCCAGAAACCGATTTGCTGATGGTGAGAGAAAAAACTAATCTTTTTTGCGAACTGATGACAATGTGGACTCCAATAACCTCCCCCCCCCACCCTTATTTTTTGAGTACTTAATTTGTATCTGAGTAGAATCTGAGGTTTTTGATATTCAAGCTAGTGCTGGGTGGTATCACCAAAATCTTATGTCACTGGCAAACGATGCATTCAGAGGAAGTTACTCTCTTTCTGCAACACAGAAACTATTTCTTGACTTTTTTTTTCCTTTTACTGTACCTCTGTCGCATTTTTCTTCCTTCCCTGGTTGTAGACATTAGTCGTGCCTTCTGGGCTTACATCGTGTTAGCAGTGAGGGGAGGCAGGTACAGTGGTGAATGAGGAGGATTAAGCAAAGATCATTTTCAGGCAAATTTACTCTATGAWGTCTATCTTTGAACAAAACTGCCACCCGCCACCAGTTATTGAAAGACTCCCACATTGAAAATAGCCAGCCCTGTGTGCTGCTAGTTCCTGCATGCGTGTTCAGCGGCGCTGCACTGAAAAAGCCTCCCCCCATGAAACAGTTCACTGGCGGATGTGTATGGCAAGCCATTTTAGCATGAAATAGGTTTCATCGGACTATCTGTAATTACATTCTAGATATCTAAAAATAAGTTTTGACTAGGAACAACTACATTTTGGCTATCCTGAAAGGTAATTTAAGATATCTGTATTCAGAGTKCCTACAGCTAAGGCAAGTTAAATTTAAGACTTTTTAATGCTTTTTAATGCCAGTTGAAAGGAAATTTAAGACCAACTTAACATAAACACAAATGTGAAAAAAAATGTATAAAATAATTTACCCAAATATTTATTTT